GGTCTTGCTGGGGCTATCCCAGTTGATCTTGCCCTATTACTGACCCGGTGCCACGTGGCTCAATGGGCTATGTGTGTGGGTTAAAGCCAGACATCCCTTCCTTCCTGAGTTTGATGCTGGACTGAGGCCAGCCCGACCTTAGTTTAATATAATGGTTTTATTTTATCCCCTGATATCTTGTATTGTTAAGTCTTTTGCTTTTTTGTCCTTGTTAATGGTTACCCTGTCATTTCCTTGTTTGGTTATGTTCTGTTTTACTTGTCTTTCCTAGTTTGGATAGAGCCCAGTGTTTAAGATCTCCTAGTCTCTAGTGCCTGTTAATTGTAACATACCCCACCTGTTCCTTGTTGCCCCAAGTCCTTAGTGACCGGTTAGTTTGGTTAGTTTGGTTAGTTTGGTTATGGTTCTCACCCGTCCATGTTAGTAGTGTATTTAACTGCCTACTCTTCTGTTCCTCAGTGGTTCATTGTGGCCCTTTCCCTGTGTTAGCTGTGTGATTATTAAGAACATAAGAGCATAAGAACTATACAAACGAGAGGAGGCCATTCGGCCCATCGAGCTCGCTTGGGGAGAACTTAACTAATATCTCAGAGTTGTTAAAATCTTATCTAGCTCTGATTTAAAGGAACCCAAGGATTCAGCTTGCACTACGTTATCAGGAAGACTATTCCATACTCTGACTACACGCTGAGTAAAGAAGTGCTTCCATAAATCCAGTTTGAAATGTTCTCCCGCTAATTTCCAAATTATTAGTTGTAGTAACCCAATGTTAGCTATTGTAGATTCATGTGTTCCTCCCTTCCATTGGTATTGTTGTTCCCAGTGTTGCTCCTTGTCTTAGTGTCTGTTTACCACTTTAGTTTTGACCCCTCACAGTCCCTTTTGTTTTCTGATTGACCATTTGTGTTCAATTTTGTTAATCAAACCCTGTATCACAGATCAGTTCAGGGAAACCCCTTTGACATCACACTGAGTTCCTCTTCCCAGTTGTGTTCAATTGGTTCCAATTGTCTGCCAGTCATAAGATATTCTTAGGCTGAGTGTTCAGATATTTTCTCCTACATTCCCTTTTCCTGTCTGCCTGCCTGTCTGTGTTTTCGATCCTGTTTCCGTTCTTTGACCTCTGACTGCCGACACTGATCGCCTGACTGCTGGAACTATGACCACGCACATACGTTGTTTTGGATTTTACTGCCTGGACAATCAGGAAGAAAATCAGTCATTTTACTTACCCGATCTGCGCCAGCGTCCTCCTTTTCTTGATCTGTCTGCCGTGACACTCTGTTTTGTTCCGCCATTATGTGGATTCTCTCTCTTGTCATGCGGAACCGTGACACCATTATTAAAAATGCAAAATTAATAGCAGTGAAAAGTTTAAGTTTCTTTGAGAAACGTGAGATTCCACGGTACCCAAGCCAAGACTTTTAATAAGCCTGTTAAAGATATACTGTAGGCCACGTGACATCTGTAAACTCCCATCGTAGCGATGATGATGGTTAGTGAGATGTTGCCTATTTTCAGTCCACTCAGTAACTGGTACCTCTCTCATCTTCTGTTTTTCACTTTTCCCTTTGCTGGAAATGATTGTATCGGGACACTTGCTGTATCCTAGCTGTCCTCTTTCTCAGCATGTTTCTAACCCACCATGTGTCCCAACATCATAGCCTCAGGGTAGAATAACATTCTGTCCAACAGCAGCCGTCTGAGTCAGGAAGGAGGCTCCAGTGACTGGGAATAAAAATATGTGACATGTTGGTAACTGAGCAATGTGACATTTCACTCCGTGTTCAGATACATTTACTGCAATCTGCTGGTTTGGTCAAATATTTTGGACAATTTCAATTTCAAGACAATTTGCAAATTTCAAGTCGGTGCAAAAGCAGCATGTGAAACTGTATATCAGTCACTTCAAAACCAGCTTCTAAGCCCAGCAGTTATTGGGATATTGATTTACTTCTTATTTTTTATCTCTTGTGATGACGATTGTTTCATTGTGACATTTTGCTGTGCAACCCTGATGTGTGATATAGTTGGTTACAACATGGATTTGGTAAATACTATTTTCTTTATTGGTCCAGAGATGTCGTGTGTGTCGATTTTTATTGTGTAACCACACAGGTAGTTCCGGCAGTGTAGTAATAGTTCGGTATTAATGCATTTTAATGTTTTATTAAGCATGATAAATAAGCAGTCATTCCTATCCGCATAATTTTCCTTGGTTTTCAAAACGCAAGTGCGTGTCTGTTGACGGTTTTTATGGTAACATTGGTAACATATGGTAACATGCTTCCAGTGAGCAGCCTGACCAGACATTCTATCCACATAGGGAGTAAATTTCCTAGGTGGATATTGGAAAGTTATTAAATACTGATTGAAATAATTTTCTTTTGAAAAATGAATTGTGACTACTTTATTTTATTATTTTTGTTTCTTAGCCATGGCATAAGCGGGATGAATCACTTTGAGGTGTGGCATCTAAACAATGAACAATTGGTACTAACAGAAACCCAAAGTATGCCAGAGAAATACCCCCCCCCACACACACACACCATTACACCACCAGACTCAATTCTTAATACAAGGCAGGACGGATCCATGCTTTTTATGTGTCGTTTATGTCAAATTCTGAATGTTGCAGCAGAAATTGAGAACCATCAGACCGGGGAACCTTTTTTCCAATCTTCCATTGTCCCATTTTGATGAGCCCATTCTCACTGTAGCCACAATTTCCTGTTCTTACAGTAGCTGACAGGACTGGCACCTGGTGTGGTCTAATGCTGCTGTAGCCCATCTGTGCCAGGGTTCGACTTGCTATCTGCTCAGAGGTGCTCTTCTGCATACCTTGGTCGTTACGAGTGGCTATTTGAGTTACTGTCGCTGTTCTATCAGCTTGAACCAGTCTGTTCATTTTTGTCTGACCTCTACCGTCAACAGGGCATTTTCATCCAGAGAACCGCTGCTCGCTGGATGTTTATTTTTTGCCCCATTCCCTGTTTCAAGAACTGAGGTACATTCCCAGATTGATGTGCATGAAAATCGCAGGAGATCAGCAGTTTCTGAAGTACTCATACCAGCCTGTCTGAATTACCCACCATCTGTGTACCTTACTGTCTGGTATCAGCAGGGGCGCCGTAAGGGGGTGGAAAGCTAGGACGATTCCAAGGGCCCCTGAGTGACAGGGGCCCTAAAAAATTAGGAAAATAACTGGATTGGTTTGGACTGGGGGGCCTAATATGATATGCTTTCATGGGGCCCAAAATCTCTAGCGGCGCCCCTGGGTATCAGACCTCCCTGCATTTCCCTTTTATGTGTAGTTTGTGGCGGCTTGGTGTCTGTCTTAGTTCTAGGAGGAGATGCAGGTGGTTGGTGTGAAAGAGGAAGATGCAGAAGACAGGAAGAAATGGAAACAGGTGACCTGCTGTGGCGACCCTTAAAGGGAAGAGGAAGTTAGTCCCTTTAAGGGGTTAATGAAAGGGCATTCTTCTCTTAAGACAAGCCTTATCTCATTTTGCTGCCATGATGCCATGGTCTGCCAGATGTTATACTGGTGTCGGCAGGGACGGATTACGGACCGGGCCAGCGGGGCCGCTGCCCAGGGGCCCTTGGGGTGCAGGGGGCCCGTGGGGCCCCTAGCCCAAAACAATTTGCAACGCTTATCAACAATGTATTTTCGTTTGTCTATTTTAGAGGGCCTACATTCTTTGATCCTCTGCCTACAAGGGCCCCTTTTTTGCCCAGGGGCCCACACAACCCATAATCCGTCCCTGGGTGTCGGAAGTGGGATGCCTGAAGCAGCCCCACTGGTGCTACTGGAGTAGTTCCTTCTGGATATTGTTCTGACAGCCTGCTCCAGCGTGGCAGACCTGTGGGTGGCTGTGGAGCAGAAGAAGTGGTAGCAGATGGTTCACGTCAGTGCTGGTTCGGGACAGCGGACACTGGAGAGGGGACACTGGGCACAGTTTTCCCCCAAAGACTGTGCCAAAGTCACCAGGAAACCAGCAGGGGGGGGGGGGGGGGGGGGGGGGGGGGGCGTGGTGAGGGATGCACTGCCCCGTCCTTCCAGAAACCCTCTGACTCGTGCAGCGTGCCCTCAAGCCACCCATGCCAGCCCGCCGGACCCCCGTCCTGCCACAGCACCTTGGGTCCACCTTGGGTCTGCTCACTGTCCAGTGAGGGCTCTCAGCCTGCTAGCTGTCACTGGAGAGGGAGCACTGGCGGCTGCCACCAGTCTTTTGCGACTTGTTGGATGATGTGCCGGAACACTGGCTGTGATGGTCACTGGGATAGTTGACCTCATGGAGGGAGGCAGTGTATGTAACAGTGGAATATGTGATAAATGTCATATGTTATATTGGACTTTAGGGGCACAGGAGCAATTTTTGAATTGGGGGGGGAGGAACTGAAAAGGCGAGCAATAGGTCTCATCTTTTAAACATATCCAACCATGGTCGATGAGGCTTTTGGTGGTTTGGATTAATGGTTTAATACACTCGATGTTTTCATTGACACTGGCTCACATACATACAGTGTTACAGTGTTGTCTGGTATCAAATTGCCAATCATCCACAATTGGCCTATTGGACAATAACATAAACTACAGAAGCTTCTCTACAATGTGTTTCAATTTTAAATTTACTGAGCTGCAGTATATTGTTACGTGGTATGTGAAGACACATTCTTAGCTTTGCTTTAATGGACATACTGTAATTTCACGTTTGGTGAAACTTAGAGTTGTTAGCTTTGTTGCTGTAACATAAATTGAGATATAGGAGAAATTGATGACAACATTCAGCGTAGAATTCACATCTATTTGCATTGCTTACTATGATGGCTCTTTGTTTTTTTCCACATTACATTTTTTTTCTGTATTGCATACTGCTTTGATTCGTCTGACCAAAACTGTATCCGGCACAATTTAAGCACATTTCTCAACTTGTTCAGAAAAAAAACCTGCAACAGAGGAATACAAACAGAATGCAAAAATGCGGCGAGAACAGATGTTTTGTTTTTATCTTTTTACTGAAAAACAAAGATACATCAGCGGAGTTACATGAAGTACAGATGCTTTTGAATAAAATATTTTAGAAAGTAACATCAGTATTTGAGTTATTTATCCTTTGTTAAATTAGTAGGTCATTGTGGAAGTGGAAAATTTTGAAGTTATTTGTAAGCTAACAGGAATGCGTGACCTTTGCCGACCTACAAATGGAGATAAAGTGAGTGTGGGAGTGTGTGTGTGTGTGTGTGTGTGTGGACTCCTAACTGCAGTATCTACATGCTGTCAGTAGTATGTGATGGTTGACAGTTGAATGATTCTGAATCTGTACAAGTCCAACGACACTGTATTTAGGGATGCTACTTTTTTTCTCCCAAAAGTGGGGGGGGGGTATATAACTGTCCCCCCTTCCCCACCGCCATCTGTGCCTCTGGTGGACTTATGTCATATTAGACTATGTTATGTTATTTTAGACATTGTTACGTCAAACTCAGGGTTGTATGTTATGCGAGACGGTGTGTTATATTACACTGTGTGTTATTATATTACACATATTACACTGTGTGTTATGTTGTACTGTGTGTTACATGTCATGTTAGAGTGTGTGTACAGGTACGTTATCAGTGCATTTTCTCCCTGATCAGAGTCAGCAAGGCCTTAGCAGAGGGTTACAGGATGTGGTCTGTAGGGGATCTGCCCGCCTCGGACTTCCTCTCCGCATTGCGACACAGCAGCGTTTCCTCCCTCTTTGGTACATGGAGGGTCATTTCACGTGCCCCCCCCCACCTGTATGCGTGCTCCAGTGTGGCTGTACTGCCGTGTGCCGACACTGTCTGCTAGCATGACTGTCAGGAGATGGACCTTAGACAGCTGAAACCATTTCCTGAAAACTCAGAGTGGGAAGGAGATCGTTCCGAGCCGGGTCTCTGCACGCCCCCCCGCAACACAGGAGACACTCCATGGAGCTGCAGGCCAGCCACAGGGCTTTTGGGGGTCGGGCATGACCCGTAAACACTGCCTTTACTGGGTGTCACTGGGGGTCGGGCATGTCCCATAATCACTGCCTTTACTGGGTGTCACTGGGGGTCAGGCATGTCCGGTAATCACTGCCTTTACTGGGTGTCACTGATTTCCCCTCCTGGAATTGGAAAGCCCGGCATTCACAAAGGAGGAGCACAGTACGTTTTCTGAAGCCAGACTCACATGAATGGTGTCATGAATCGCCAGTTTCATTTAAAAGACTCTCATTGGTCCATTTTAATTGGTGAGAGGGACTCTACTTCCTCTGTGACCCGTAAGGGGAGAATCATGATGAGCACTTCCTTTATTGTTACAGCAGTCTGTGAGCGTCAGAAAAGATCACACATTTTGCATGCGTGTCGTAGCAGCTGTCACTGATACGATACTCTTTGAGAACCATTCCGTCTGTCTGAATGCGAGCAGGAAGGGACTTTCCCTTCGCATTGCTATCCTCCAGTACATGCACTTCTTCATTTATTTGTTTCAGTCTTGGTCGCCTTCCATAACTGCTTTCCTAGCCGGGGATCGGTGGTTATTTGCGTCACACAGTGGGCACTGCATCTTCCTGTGTGTCTCTGCTGAACTGGCATCTCTTGGAAAACTTTGAACCTGTGAGCACAAAGTGGGGAAGAACGGTAAAAGCCAAGTGATCATGGAAACTATGAGTCAAGTTTTCATTTCTGCAATCTGAACAAGTTATTTTTAAGTTATTTATTAGAACTCTGCTAAAAAAAAAAACAGCCTGATCACCGTAAGTTGGTGGTGCTGGTTGATGGATTTATAGTAGTTGACCAGCTTAAGGTATGTTTTTGCATGATGGTTTGGTGGTTTAACTGGTCATACAAGCTTATGATGGTCATTCTGGCTGGTTTAGGTGGTCACACCAGAAGACCAATTGGTGACCCACTCAAAGAAATCAGCAAGAAGTGGGACATGACCATCAAATCTATCTCAGACCAGCTAAAACCAGCTACCAGTATAAGCTGGGTTTTAGATGTTTTTTTCACCAGGGAAGTAATGTATTCCCAGTGCATCCAACTGTACTTCAGTCTAAATATTATAGTTTTTAAAGAGCTTGGATTCAGTTTTCAGTGTTGAGTAATTAATTGAACATACCTGTAATAATGCAGAGGATTAATGCTGAAATGACTATTATTGCCATAATCCGTATCATGTTTCCTGTGAAGATGCCACCTCCTTGCTAAAATGAACAGAAGGATGTACACATTGGTTGCACATTGAAAAATCACAGGTCAGGCTGCCTGCTATTAAGCCCCTGATCAGCTGTTGATTTATGTCCCTTGGATGAATGTGATGAAGGATTAATGATTAATAAAAGCACCTCAGTCTGGACTCTAGCAGGCACTACAATGATTCCCTCTGTAGTGACAGCTGCAGTTTCCCTGTTCCCTGCAGCCACAGTCAAACGAAATAAATAAAATGAACAAATCAGAACATTGAAACACATCTGAATACGTCTGCATTACCCATCATGCAATGTCACATTCTGAGACATTTGTTTTTTTTATTATGATTTACATGCATTACAGTATGTAACCGTCCATCCATCCATTCAGCAAGCCACTCACATCCAGCCATCAGCGCATATACCTCTTCTCAGCAATTGCAAACCACAAGAAATTAATTTAGGGCATGTTTTCCCAATCTGGTCCTCAGAGACCCACAGACAGAGACCTCCCAGCAGATGTACTGTAGGTCCATGATGACCAGAGTGGGAAAGACTGATTTAGGGTCCTGGTGATCCAGGCATGGAAGGAAAATGTTAGCTTTTCCAGACCGTAGTGTAGTAAAGGTTCATGCTGTTGTGTATATATCTTCCAGGTGCTGGAAGGACACTTGAACTGTCATGCATTTCACAGTAATAAGGAGTAAACAAATTTGCAAATATTTTAAAGGACTGGAATTAAAACGTATATCGTTTAAAATAAAACATCCTGACGTATCAGCTATTGTTTTTATGTTATGGTGATGTACACAGCAGCTTTGAGTCTATCTAGCAGAAATGTGCTCTCTGGTATATAGAAACAGAAGGAAAAAATGTTAAACATTAATAAGTATGCTGCTTGCTCACTGGAGCGGTTATGCCAGGGGGTTCTTACCATCGCTGACCAGCAAATGGAAGTTGTATTTTTCGTCGTTGAACAGCCCAGGTATTTCCACGCGGCATCCATAATTCCCCGAGTCTTGCTCTGTGATGTTGACGATGGTGAGGGAGACATCGCCTCCCTCCATTCCGTTCCGTAACTGATACCTCGCCGATGTCCTAAAAGTCACTTTAGCTCCATCGGTGGAGACGATGGTGTCCCGGCATTTAAACAGCGGCACCGAGCCCCGTCCCCAGCACGCGCTGGCAACACCGTGCGTTTCAACGCTGTACTTGCAGTGCAGCGTTACTTGGTCCCCAGCGTAGCCCACCACCAACTCCAATGCAGCACTGCACCCTGCAAATAAACAGAAGCACGATGATCCGGCTTGAGGCAGTAAGTATTTTATTCAGTCCAAGTTAATTAAAAAATAGCATAATTAATTCCAACTTACCGACCCCTAGACTAAAGGTGAAGCAGTAATGCAGTAGGAATAAAGCATGCGTTTTGGCTAGAAGCAAAGCCATCGATGGTGAATAATCCCTTACCAGACTGCTGTGACATAAATAACAGAAGGACACACGGTCACAATCATTTTAAGGGTTTCTCATCACTTCCTACCGCCCCCCCCCAACAAGACTGCAGATTTGCTGCTATTTTGGGCCACAAGAAAATATAAAGTGGAAAGCCGTCACTCATAAAGCGTTAGAAACCCACCCATCCATTTTCTGACTGCATTAAAAATGAAAATGCAAATTCAGGTCATACAGTCATAGCAGATGAACGCAGCTGTTTGTATGATCACGGGTGTATCAAGTTTGAATTGAGCATTCGTCCTGTTGAATGCTCGAAATGTGACTCAAATCCCAGTGTAAAGGTGATTTATTTTTGCAGTGTTCCTGTTTTCTACCACAAGATGGCGACCTTTTCCTCCGTGGCGGAGCCGTATAAGCAGGGATGGATCTAAGCACAAGCAAATATGCCGATCGGCAGAAAGGAGCCCTGGCGAAATCTCCCGAGGTCATGCTGTGGTTTTCACAAGTCAGATGCCGCTCGTGTAGATCCAAATTCAGTCTTTATTGCAACAAAGAGGTTACAACCAAGGCTGGACACTTGTAAGTATGTCCAATACTGTTTTGCACAATTTTTTATACATTTTCCTATCGTGTAACAATATCTTGTCACTTAAGCATCATCGTTACTTCTACCATTCACAATCATTGTTTTCTCCCTTAATCCACACCCCTAGGTGATAAGTTTGTCAATCATTTCTTTTACTGTTTGGTCCCTTGACCGAACATAATGGTGGAATGACCATCTCCACTTGGTTTTTTTAAAAATGCTCAGCCGTGAACTTCTGGTGAACTCAGGCGAATCCCTTCCTTCAGTAGCAAACCTTGGCAGCTTCAGCCTGTTGCACATTGTCTAACCAGAGGGTTGATAATATATTTGTCCTTCAACATAGTGATAAGGTATACACTAATAAAGGTGGATGTTCATACATTCAGGGCTAACCTAAAACAGCTAACAGAAACTTTGGGGCTAACATAAGGTGCAAATATATACTCAGTTGATTACATTGTGTTGATTACATTATAATGATTACATCACGAGTATTTGGCATGCTTTTTAATAATATCATAATGATTATATTCTACGTTGTATAGTGCTAAATAATATTCCAGAGTCACCCCCTCTGCCAGAATCTATCGATGAGGAACCACCTCGACTGGCGAAATGTGTAAGAGGAAGGAGTGCAGGAAATGCAGGAAAAAAGAGTGACTGAGGCTGATTCACGTTCTGTCCGGCCAGTTCCTCATTTATTGGAAAATAACGCTGCCCTGATGTTTAGTGTGTCTTCATTATCAGCCCAGTATCCGCAGATGGCTTTGCATGGTAGGGGGTTTCGTTTCAGGACCTTCCTGCTCCAAACAGAGATGAAAAGCATTTTTTTCTTAATAAAAATTTAATCCTGCACTTTTCTTACACGATTTTGGGGAATTGTTTGGCTCAGGAACAAGTCCTTGGCTTTAGCGAAGTTTCTGTGTAAATCTAATAAAGTAACAGTTCAAAGTCAAGTCAAAGTTAAATTTAGTTGTACAGCATTTTATACACAAAATACTTTACAGAAAATAAGGAATAAAATGCATAAAATAAAAGTGCAAGCATATGAATAAATATGAAAATTGGAAATTACAATTTTATAAGTGGAAAAAGTGCTGGTTGCATCATTTATGTGCAAGCGAAAATTCAAGCCATTCAGTTAAAGTGAGGATTGTTGACAGCTCATGATTTTACCTTGGAAAATTACACAGATTGTCTTAGAATGTGATTCTTTATTTAGAAATCATGTCAGCTGTCTAACAGAGAAATAAACAGAGCGGATTTGTTTAATCTGCAGCTGGTCACTCATACTGAAGAGTGGCTGAGAATGTAACAGCCCCCAAAATGACGTCTCTCCCTGTAGACTACAGGGTTGGGTGTCTCTAAGCAGAAGTATTTTGTTCCCTCTCTCAAAAAAGGCACCTCTGGGGAGAACATTAGCAGTCGGGATCGTGTCTCTGATTTCGAAACAGCCTCACCGAGGCTGTCTGATGGCAGATTTCCTACACATATTCTGAGCTGGTGATCTGTAGGTCATAAGTTGTCATAGGAACGTGCGCTGTAATTGTGACGTTAGAGAACGAACGACAGCATTTCCAACGTTAAAAAATAAAAAAAATGCCTGGAGTAAAGTGAGAAAACGCCACTAAAATTTCAAATTTTGAGTCTCCTGCCAGTAGAGGGAGCAGTAGTATTAAATATGGCTGGAAAGATTAACGCTTGACTCTTGTCAGGGGAGTTTTGTCTTCTCCAGAGAAACATTAACAGTCAGTACGGATTCCTCACAGTGCTGGTGCTTTGAGCCGGCAGACCAGTGCAGTAGGTGCCTTGTTATCTTTGTTTTCTGTCTTTACCATTTTTGTGTCATTGTTTATTTTTATGGTAAAGCCAGTTCTTCTTAGGTCAGGGGTGGGCAATCTTATCCAGAAAGGGCCACTGTGTATGTGGGTTTTCACTGCAACTCCCTAATTAGATTAATTAGATGGCTGATTGGCTGAAGAGTCCTCACACCTGGGTTTGAGCAGCTGACCTAAAGGTTACCCCAGAAACCTGCATACAGACCAGCCCTTTGCGGATAAGATTAGCCACCCCTGTCTTAAAGTAACTAGCATATTGACTATAACTAGTATTTTTGGCCATTTTTTTAACCATAACTTGTATTTTGTTGCTTTCTTGTATTTCCCAGAAATGTATCCTTGCTCTTTTTAAACTATTGTGTATTTGAAATAAGTGCACCTTTTTGAAATTTGTTTTGTCTCATCACTTAAAAGACAGTTTGCTATCGTTTGTCCGCAGTAACTCTGCAGTAACTGCACAGAGATCATCATGATAGAAGGTCACTCTTGTGATACCCACAGCATTGCACACTGTGTACACACACCCTGCTCCCTCCAAATGACAGCAGTGCACACTGTGTACACACACCCTGCTTCCCCCAAATGACAGCAGTGCACACTGTGTTCACTCACACACTCACTCCTATGGGCAATTTGGTAACTCCCATTAGCTTCAGCACTGTGACACGGAGAGAACATGCTAACTCCACACACACGGAGCCATGACAGAGACTCAAACCCAGGTCCCAGAGGCGTGACACTACAGTGCTAACCACTGCACCACCCTAAATCTGTCTCCAGTGTTTTATAATAGTCATTACAGCTTTGGAATAACTGTTGGTAATAAATTCCCACTAGTTGCTCAGTACTTCAGGGACCCATATACTGCAAAAGCCATAACGACAGGTTGTGACAGGAAGTGAAAAAGCCCCAATCCGTTAAGCAGCAGGACTTTCCCCACACTGTAGGCACAAGCCTAATTTCTGCTATTGCAAGTTGGTTCAGGAAAATGCAGTTTAGAGGGCGGGGGGGAGGGGGGTGCAGCTGCAGAGTTTAGCAAATTCCCACAAACCAGACAGGCGCTAACATCATGATAAAGGCTCTGGACAGCCATCCTCTGCATATGGTCCTCGTCTCTTTGCTGAAGTTCTGCCAACGCTGTGGACCCTTCAAGTTATCAAACCATTCGAACAGACAGTAGTGTCACTGTGGGTCAGTACAGTAGTTGGGGGGACATGCGTGAGAGTGACACGCTTGCAGGTGGATTTTGCATTGTGAGCTGCGGATCTGGACAATGGGTCTGTTAGGTCTGATAATGCCGCTGACATTTTAACAGGAAGTGAAACACGTGCAATCACATCACGTTTCTAACCGGTCATTGCATGTGTAAGACTCCAGCAGCGGCTTGCTTGTGGCGGGTGATGTAAATAAATACACATTTTCCTACAGCCAACATTCATCTTATACCTAGAAATACCCTTCAGCCCAGTTATCCAGCTCGGGGTCGGGACGTATTAAAAAGATATCATTCCGTACCCTATGATTCTAGATTCTCGGTCCTTATTGTAAATGTTCCAAGATGTAGATTATATCGATGAGAGACGAGAGGGAATATGTGAAGTTAGCAAGAAGAAAAGGAGGAGAAAGGGGAAAGGAGGAGAACTCCACGTGCATCACGGTGTTTCGGAAAGTGCTCTGGAGGCTGTAGGTCGTTTAAACCTCGCCATTCCAGGGAGAGATCTTACGGCAAATCTATATTATTCCATTATAAACCTAAAATTAGCTACATCGAATGCGTTGGGATACTTTGCAAACTCTACAGACTATTTACAAGGCAATACAACTCTTACATGCATAAATGATTATGCAGAATTGTCTCATATAGAAAATGTCACTACAAGCAGCTGGCCAAAGTTGGCAGTGCTGAGCATTACCTTAGGGAGACCATAGTGGGAGAAACTCAGGCACTCACATGGTTAACATTAGGCTATGTCAGGCGAGTTTTTCCTAAAGAATGACCAGAAATCATTGTGCAACAGACCAGCCTGGATTTTGTCAGTAAATATTGAGTTGCGTTTATTAATTTTTGTAGTTATTTCATTCTCCCCAGACAAAGACGCATTCCAAGCAAATATATGATTTATGTTTCCTTTAATTTTAATTGAAAATGTTTTTCTCGGACCATGTAGATTTTATCCAGCATCGCACCAAAAATCTCGTCCTGTTTGAAAAACAATGATGATGGAATGTTGCTCTTAAGTCTATTCGATATTCTGTCCTGAGAGTCTTATCATCAAGCGGCATCCCAGCTTCAGTCTGTCTTCTTCTCCCTTTACCTGTTTGATTCCTGATGATCACTGACCACAGCAGGTAATATTCCATTTACATGTCTCACACTTGGATATATGCACAAACTTGTTAATGTCTCTGTTTGGCTGTGATGGAAATGGCCGGATGACCTCTGCCATTCTTTGCTGTTGGATATCCTTATTCTGTAAATGCTGAGGTGGCAACTACACAAAACAATGGAACTTTTCTGCCTGAAACTGATCACTTGCTCCTGTTTTTATTGGCATTCAAATCCTTCCTTTATGAGGAACATACTCCAGAGTGAAATGCTGTCAGGTTGGAGAAAAGGTGATTTTTTTATTGATCTTGGTTGTGAAGAGATGTGCACAGGGAGTCTGTAGAGCAGTGTGCCAATCCTGGACCTGCAGGGAATCAAAGTACAGAACCGTATAAGGATGACCTTATACTGTGTGGTTTTGATTGGATGCATGTCCCTTCATGGTACTTAAGAACCAATCACGCTTCGAGTGTCTACACCAGAAGCAGGGCCATGTCATGACAGCTAACAGTTACCTGTCTCACAGAGAACTAGCCTGCCAGACATGCTGGATGAAAATGCAACCACCGCTGCCTCTTTTTCCAGAAGACGTTGTCACAGGCAGCTAATCCATCATATTTCTGACACATTTTCACAACCCAAGAATTCTCCTCAGAGCAAGCATCGTCATAACTGCCCATATGGCAAATGGCATCCTGTTTAAAATAGGACAGAACCCACAGAAAAATGGGCCTACAGATGTTCAGGCTCCTCCAGAGGGGAAAAATGTAGTAACGTAAACAGAGGTCAAAACGAGGCAGATAACGAGGACGGGGAGGAACGCTCTCGACCGAATGTGCACTGGCTTTCCGCTGGGAACCGGGACAGATGCCTGTTTCTCACATGGCCATGCTGGCAGAAAAGGCCAAGCGATGAGAAAGTCCTGCGAAGAATTTTAAATTTCACTTTTGTCCACATTCCCGCAAAGGTTCTCCTTAATGTCACCCAAGAGGGACCTTGGAGCGGCTTCTGCTGGTGTAGCAAAGCACCAAGACCAGGCCACCGCCTCCCAGAACGGAGAGGAGAGCAGAATTCTTCCATGGATCTAAGTTCGAGATGCATGTCCGATCAGCCATGGGCAGCCAACCTTCTCAGCTTCAAGGCACTTCATGGCGATATCCAGTGATGGAGTTGCTGGTTCTGAACTCTCAAGAACCATGGTCTGCCTGTTCTGCTGCTCTCCAGTTTTTCTTTCAGTCTGCACTCAGTTCAACAACAGAAGCCCTGAGTCAGCTGCATTCTAGTGTAAATCACACCCAGGGTTTCTCATCTTCATCTCCAGGGAAGTGAAGGGGAAAGGCAGAGGAGGAAAGAGAGAGGAGCTTATGGGGCTTGAAGGGAGTTTAAGTATTATGTGAGAATGTGTCCAAATATGCGGAATATGGGTCTGAAAAGGGGGCAGAGAAATGAAAGGGAAAGCCAACGATTGGCATGCGTTCTTCCTCTTTAGCCTTGATTTGAGAGGAAGGGAGGACCCCCCCCCCATCCCTCCCAAGAGCACTGTGGGAAAGAGCATCTCCGAGCTGCTTCAGAGCTCATCAGGAGTCCGAGACGGGGCCGTGGTCTGTCCTCTACTGTCCCTGGTGCCGATCCCACACGTGAAATTACATCGACCTCCATAAATAGCAGAGTAACTCAGGAGCTGGGCGTAGAGACGTCTTTTCCCACAGGGTGGCCTGGGTCCAACGAAAATGGCAAGGGAAGGAGTTGAGGAGTCTTTTGAAGAGGCACGAGAGACAGGCACTGGAATGGGGTGGCTCCCCTTGGTCGGTAGTAAGCGTCACGATTTTCACAGAACTACAGGTGCTCTTTCTGCATAGGACGTGGCAGGCGGGTGGGCAGGCGCTGAAGTTAGCTGGCTCCACTCGTCAGACGTGGGAAGGCGACAGTTTGGCAGCTCCGAAGACAAATGAATCCCGCTGACCGTTCTGGAACGCCATCTTCACAATGGAACGATAATGAGAAGTGCCTTATACCTGGCACTCTTGGGGCTTGATGAAGACCAGATGGGAGGGCAGAGGGATGCGAGGGTGAGGAGGGATGCCACATTCTGGTGGGGAACACCCCGGGGACCGCAGGCTTGGTGACGGGCAGCTGGGAGCGGCTGCAAGGAAAATCAGGCAGGGAAATGTGAGATGCAGGCACCCACTTGGACATGTGTTGTGTACAAGAATAGCAAAAACCCACATGAATGTTTTATACAGCCTGATTTTTACCAAGTCAAAAATTTAATTAAAAGGGATTGCACCAGTTGTATGGACCTTAACCATTTCATGCATAAAATATTTAAAAACAGATACTTCATAGATGGTTTCTCCTACTCAGAATTGCAAACAAAGAATTTTCACTTCTCATTTAGGAATTAGGACACCGTCCACACATGTGGACACCATGCATTAATGGAATGCAATTGATGAAGCACACTTACAATGTGTTTGAGTTTTTACTTTATTCATTAACATTTTCGATCGGTACAATTCATAGCAGCGTCTCTTAGAATTCTGCACTTTTCCACAGACCCAATGGTTTTGAAGATCTTATATTTCCTTAAATTAGCCTTAATCAACTGTCCGTAGGCATAGACACTAATCGTGGAAGGGTTAATCTCCTTCCAGGCTTCGTCCATTTGCAGGTTTGCCCGAACCGAAGGACAGTTGCAGTGGGGTAGGGCATTACATAAGCCCGTGGCACTGGTACAGTGCTGAAGAGAGATTTACAGTCTCCCGTAAAACTCCCCGGAAGCTGCGCTGAACACTGCAGCCCAGCTGGCATGAAGCGGAGTTTGGGAGGCCGTTGAGAGCTCCAACAACGGCCTTGCATTTCAATAAGCAGAGAAGAAAAGCATCTCTGCAGACAACAATGAGGCCCCCCGCCCCCCCACTGGCTCGCTGAGTCGGCACACCCCAGTCTCCTTGAGTTAGGTTTTGCCTGTAGCTTAATCCCTTGAGTGTGGCACAGAGCTAAGGCTGCAGTTTACAGAACAGTGCTTGTTTATCACGGACCGCACAAGCGACCAATGAAAAATGGGCAGACGGATCTCAACAATGTGCCAGTTCCGCAATGAGAAATGTATTTATTTTCCTGACATACACCTCAAAAGCATAAACAACTTGTTTCCAGGATTTATTATATTTTTATAAACTCTAAGTTTTGCCAGAAGTTCTTGTAATGACGGCCTTTGACCAAGTGCATGGAAAATCAGAAGCAAAAAATTGACAGAAACCTCTGTGTGAATTTATTAAACCTAACCCTGTAATTCCTGGCTGTAACATCAAAGTCACATCTAAAGTGATTTTTAATGTGTTGGGCTTTAGGCAATTGTTTGCAAAATGAAAGCTTTAAATTAGCTTGTTTTTTGGTCCATGCAAAGGGCTTGTTTATGTGATTCCAGTACCTCCATACCACCTGTTGTTAAAGGGGTTTATGTAATGAAGATGATGAGATCGGCCCCTCTGACATGTTTAACTCTAGTCGAGTGAGGGATTGGTTTTGGCCATAAAGACATCAAGAGAATTTAAACTTTAAAAAAGATTTTAGTTTCAGATTCAATTTACTTAACAATTAGTTTTAAAAATCCAGCGTGTTCCTCATTTTCCCACAGGATAGGAAAAAATCTTTAACTGTGAGGGAGAGTCACTCAGATTCAAGTTACGGCCAGCAAACGGCATTATCTGCAGCTCGCCGTGATCGCAAAACGACAGACAGGACCTCACTGTCTTGGTTTATGTTGTCGAGTTTACAAAACTATTTTGATCTTTTGATTGCCGAAGCAAATTGTAAGGAGTGATTTCCTCCCAGATACCTTTGTAATGTAATTCTTCTAATTGCTCCAGACATTTATTAGCTCCAGAAGTAGCTGAATCCTGCAGCGATATCTGTTCGACACAGACCTACCAGAGCATTGTAAATTCAGGAGCCTGAGCTACAGTGAGGGGCCCAAGCCGAGAATTTATGAGTACCGATGGATAAATCTTGGCCATAACAAATACAATATTGAGGTAATTTATGTCATAAGAACCACTATGGGAACCATTATGAAATATTAGCACGTCAGCACATGACAGGCTGCGGATTTGGAGGAGTCAACAGTGAGGTGAACTACACTTACTTTTTCACACCATAAATCACACACATCGTACGAGAATCGAATGTATTTATCATTCCCCTGCTTTCATCACATATTATCTTCAACAGCTTGTTTTCCAGTCAGGATGACTGGATCCCATCCCAGTAATTAGACTGCAGGGCACAATAGTGACAGGGACCCTAAAAACTTTGGAACATAACATGATTGGTCTGGGTGGGGGGCCCAATATGGGGGCTTTCATGGGGTCCAAAACACCCCTGCACGCTAATGCTGGAAAAAACTATTTATTGTTTATCAAGGAATATTTTTATGTATATGTAATAAAATGCTGTAAATATATTTATTGCAGTATAGTATGTTTTTCAATGCTGTTCGCACATTTCTCCGAATTTGTAATTCAATTTAAAAAGTCACAAAATTCCCCTGCCCCCTTATGCACCTAAAGTTCATTGCAAATGAGATTAATCGTGAAGGACTTATATTAATCAGAGCGTTACAGGCTTTGTCATGACCTTGCAAGTTTTCCCCTCTCCTTTAACAAAATGGTCACCACAGAGAGAGTCCAGGCTTCAAAGTATTGACATTAGGATTATTAAAAAGCCAAGATGGAACATAAGGGCAAAGAAAAATGGATATTTGTGGCAGCCATCTTTAATGGCAGTAATTAAACTGTGGCTGCAGTCCTTTCCTGTTCCACTCTGCCAGTTTTTACATGGGTACCCAAACAAAGTGGGCGGGGAGGAATATCATTGACAGGAATTGATAATAAGTAATGTTTTTGGCATCGTTCAGGTTCCTGGCGGCAGCAGAATGAGATGATTGATAACGAAGTGGATAGGCCAGTGCCACATACCGAGTCAGAGGTCCCTGTTCATTTCCTCCACGGGGAAATCATTTCATAAGGCAACTCCGGGCTTGACTTATCTCTGCGTGACTTTCAGCAGGAAATGCGTGAGATAATGAAATGGACACATCTGAAGACAATTTCTGTGCCCTGACGTAACTGAAACACAGCGAAGTTGTGCTGAAAATGTCATGTTAGTGCATGTAAGTGCTATGGACGGCTTCGGCTTTTTGACTTGGATCGATTACGATGTTCTGAAAATATGCCATTGTCACGAATGGCAAAAACGTTTCCCAAAACTCGTAAACGATGCTGTTGAACGTTTGTTTTGATTTCATGCATGACATTTCAACATGGTTATTTTGGTTTGTTCAATGATTATAAAGTTCTCATGTAGATCCCTTCGTAATTCATGTTTTATGTAGCTGTATTTGGCCTCCATAAAATTTGTTTGTGAAATTCTGCCTCCTTGTGCCCAATGTTTTCTCGGAACCATGGCGGGATGGTTATGCCTCATTCTTTTGCGTGATTTTCTTCCTCCGATCCGATCCAGTTCACCTAGGCTTTGGCATCGCTTTGGACGTAGTTACCGTGACCGCAGAGATGTCGCATCAGTGTAGATGGTGGGAGAAATATAAAACACACGTTCTGATGATTTTTTTTTCCATCTCAGTGGCCAAAGGCAATCTTGTTATGGTCAATCCAATTAGCTTAGCTGCAGTGAGGGATGCAATTATGGTTTTTTTCATTAGTAATGAACGAACAAAGTATTCCTTCCAAATTCCACATTACGTAAAACCTTTCTGCTGTGTGTGTGTGCATGTGTGTTTGTGCATGACATTAATTCCCCGCAAATGCTGAGCTCTCTCTGTAATTAGAGAGTAACTGTACTCTCTAGTAGTAGGCCTCCCAGAATGCACTGCGTAACTTTAGGCCAAAAGCTTTGAATTTTAAGCAGCCTTTCATGCACTTATATGTGCAAAGTATTTCTCTCCTTATTTCTTGTTTGGGCATTTATAAACAACTTCACATCAGTGGACTTTCCGGCTCTGTAATCACTCACTGTAAACACATAATTCCTCTGTCTTTAAGAATTTAATCCCCTCACAGCTCCCGTTCTGATTGTCATCTGCTGGACTTCGCAAAATCACAGATTTCTGTTTGTACTCCTACAATAGCCACCACTTTCAAATAATCCACAAAATGGCTGCAAAGGACCGCAGTCCCAAAGGGAAATTACAGCACCATTCGGCAGAATCATTGATTTTAAAGATTGTAGTGAAATCCCAAGTCCCAAGGTAAAGAGCACCTGACAATCATCCATTGCTTGAAAAAAATCATTGTAGCATCACAGTCATGATTAAAGGATGGGCTGTTATTGTGACCTGCTTGGCAATAGGCTGTATGTGCAGCGAATGACAGCTCACCTGCATTAGTCAGTCAGTAGAGAGTACTTTACTGTATCCCATTTCACTCTGAACCTACACTTCAGCTTTAACACAGCTGCACGACTCATGAAGCTCGATGATTCGCCCACAGTCATGCCTGTGTTCAGGTCCTCACACCGTCTCTTTAGCCAAACAAAAGGGCTGCAGCTGTGACTGTTTTAGCGTGTTTGTGGTCAGTTGCCTTTTTTAGGCCTCTGTTGATATTATTTACATCTGTATGCAAAATCTGTCTTCAATAATGAATGGTTTGTGACATTTTTTCAGTATTAAATTGCTTCTGATTGGCAGTATGACTCACTCCCTCTTGAGGATATGTATATATAAACGCAATTAATTTAGGGACAAATGTTCTTTAATCTTAAATGATATCCTTGTTTTCCATGCTTTTTCTTGCACCAAGCTGCAGTGTGTGTTGTATTTCAGTCATCACTGAGAAGCAGCCTAGGACATCTTCATTTTCATTGTTCTTCTGTTGTATGCTTTTAGGACACCGGGTACATCTCAAGACCTCTACCGATACGACTAAAAATATCTGCACATGATGGTGCTTTGGGGATAAACAGGTAACAGCCTTTTCCTCCTTGGTCAATGTTGGGGAGGAAAGAGAAGCTATATTCTGGTTCCAGGAAACTAAGCAATGTGTGACCATCCCCATGTGCTCCAGATAAGGGACATGAGGTGTTTTTGTCCTCTGTGGTCAGCTGGGATGGTGGCGTTAGGACATTTGGTGTGGGGTGGTCTCCAGTGTAGGTCTTCAATGTAAATCTCCAGTGTAGGTCTTCAGTGTAAATCTCCAGTGTAGGCCTTCAGTGTAAATATCCAGTGTAGGTCTGCAGTATAGGCTGCCAGTGTAGGTCTCCAGTGTAGATCTCCAGTTTCTCGTGTAGGTCTACAGTTTAGGTCTACAGTGTAGGTCTACATTGTAAGTCTACAGTGAAGGCCCCGTTGATCTCCATTCTAGACAAGGTTCTTGTGCATTTGAGATCTTCAGGGACCGTTCTTGCTATTGGATTAATAGCAAGAACGGTCCCTGAAGATCTCAAATGCACAAGATTGTATCTCCCCCCTCTTTTAGGAGAAATGGGAGCGAGACACCACTTCCCTCGTGAAATGGAAGCCTCACTGACCCCCTTGTCCAACCAGGTTCCAGATTCTGTCTGAGTGAGGGAGCCTGCCACTGTTCATCTCTGCATTATCAAAAGCATGGGAGCGATTCTTTGGATTATCCAGGGATTATCAAAGTTTCAGAAAACACACTTGGGATAAAACTGGACAGATCCTGCTTCCATAATGCACTGCAGTATCTCTGATGTAGCAGGATGACTCTAAGGCTGTGAAGATATGAACGCATCTGCCCCAGTTTGTTTTGCTTTTAGTCTGGGAAGATTCTCCACTTTGAATATCCTTCAGCGGGATGCCGGTGTTTGTTTGGTTTTGTTATGTTATTGTTTGTTTTCTTTTTCTCGTATGCATCAGGATATCTTTTGCTCATAATTGGTTAGTCGTGTTTTTCCTCAAGCCATAAGAAAGAAGCTTTTTCTGAGGTAACGTTCCCTCTAAAGTCTTGGAGCCCAGGCTCTTTCACCAGCTTGTCCGACAAAGGGTCTACACTTCATCAATAGAGCGGTTGAAGAAAGGGGGGAACAGGGAAAAGCTGAGGGGGTGGGGGGTTGTGGAGGCATGACCCCAGAGGCAGAAAGAAATCCGTCATTCTGTTTCCATTTCTGTGAAACACGATTTCCTCCTTTATCATGTAAAATCTGAGGCCTTTGATTTATGTGAAGGCTGATCTGAATTCAGATAAGCCAGAGAGGGTGATGAGAGAGTGAGAAGCCGTTCCAGTCTCTAGCTGCCTGCTTTGCGAGACCCACCCTCAATCGACCCCTCACTCCTTGCAGGCTTCTTGTCTTTCTTCTCCAGCATCATGTGACCCAACCACTTCCGTGGCTTCTCCTTTGCCTGTCCGTCTACGTGCAGAGTGCTCGCTATGATAGGCTGTTCCCTGTGGTGGGGAGGGACCAAGGACTGAGAGTGGCCCCCCGATATCACGCCGTATGCTGGTGAAAGCCATGCGGAGATGAAGGTTTCGGCCGGCCGGCCCGCTCCGCGACACCAGCCAAGCTAGCGGTTCAGAGACTAACATCCAGTCAGCTAAGTCCTCTGTGTTGAGGACATGCAAACTTGCGGGTCGGCACCAGCGCCGCACATCTCTGCTGGGAATCCTTCACAAGGAACGTGAAGACTGTGTCCTTCAAATACCCTTCTCAGTGAGACGTTATGGATCTGATATTCCCAGCAGTACTCGGTTGTCCCAGTGTAGTATTAATGACCCCGCCCCATATATTTAAACATGAATAGTAACACTGGCCTGAGACGTGGCCTTGAAGCCTTGAAGCACAGGCTGGTCCGGTCTGTCCTCGAAAATGATACATCTCTTATCTCAGCTATTTAAAGATCACCTTTAACTGTAAATCTATGCTATGCTTCGCCATTTAATTTTAGACTCCTGTTTTTCCTAAACAGATGTGACCCCTCCTGATCCCACATTTTTCTGCCTTGCAGTGAGTGGCCACCGTGCAGGAAGTCGCCACTTCTGACCGATGGCCGGTCGCTGCTTTGCCATTCGCTGCATCAGTAAAAAACACCTTCGGACTTCCTTTCATTATCGCGATAACGCAGCCGCATATTAAATGCACGTGTATTTTGAATGTGTGTATGCATACAGGCTTGTGTTTCAGAGACATGCTGTATGGCAAACTGAAAAATAACATGGACGATCAATCAAGAGCCATGAGTGGTATTTTAATACAGCAATGAGCCCCCTAAGCTAATTTGTGTTCTGTCTGATAAAGGCGTGTGCATGCATAACTGTGCCTCTCAGCGCTGCGTCTCGAGAAACTCCTAAGAGCTCCATCCGGCTCCAGAATTTTGGAAAAATCTCTCGTCTAAAATTAAAGCGCTCTCCGGGGGCAGGCTGGGATCTTCTGCACATACGTCCCAGCAAGATGGCTCTTTTCTGTCTTTCTTCTCCTACTTTTTCAGCCTGTGATCCAGTAGCCATGTGCAGGCCGGCCAAACGCCATGCGCCTTGTCTTTCAGACCACATAATCATAACTCCAGCTTTAATATTCCATATTCCACTACAGGAGCGGCTGAGCCAGACCCATGGAAAGTCTCGTCCCGCAGGCTCGAAGCACGGGACATCCCATAATCCCACCACAAGACAGAAGTCTCCCGCTGCGGCTTTTTCCGAGGCCCGGCCAGTTATGTCTGAGCGTCTCGAAGTGTTCAGCGGCAGCCCGCAGGGATCCGATTACAGAGCGAGGTACCCATACCCTGGTAGAGAAATTTCCAGAACTATCGGTGTGCAAATTATGAGGCAATATTTATTTATTTTTTTTTGAAAAGCAAATTTACTCTGGCATCAGCAGATGGGCGGGATGCTTCCTGCAGCCCCCCCACCCCCGCGGCCAGGGTTCGAAGTCCTGTCCATCTCATGGGTCTCATGCAAATAGGGGGTCATGAACTACTGAATGAGGTTTAAGTTCAACATGATTTGGGGACTGGAATAAAATCATTGACGTTGGACGTTAGTCTGAGCAGGTCTCCACCGGCAACCATGATGCGTTTTTGCTGATCGCCTTTGTTTCCCATTGGACCGATGTTACATTTCCACAGAACACTCTTTGGTGTAACCCCCCCCCCCCAGCCCAGCACCCACATTATACTGCCAACTTTGCAGTCTGCATTCATCTGAAGCTCACGTTCCCCTTCCTGTGGGTGTAACTATGATTAATATAGGATTAAGGCAAATTAATTTGTATTTGTCAAATGCCTGGCGAGCTTTCCAGAAAATAAATTTTATGTAGATGTTACACTGTGATGCAAACTTGAGTACAATTTAAGCAATATGTTTCATTAATGTGGTCTCTGTCTGCATGACCTGTCTCCTAAATGTGCTGAGCACTTCCCTGTTGGTGTGATGCAACTTCCTGTTTCTTTAGAATTAGGTGATCAGTGGTCATTGTTAACACAGCACACAACAACGAAATGTGTCCTCTGCATTTAACATTTATATGTGATTTCCGTGACATCGCAGGGGGCAGCTAATTCAGCACCCGGGGAGCAGTGCTTGGGGGCGGTACCTTGCTCAGGGTACCTCAGTGGTGCCTTGCTGGTTAGGGATTCGAACCTGCAATCTTTTGATTACAAGTGCGCTTCCCTAACCATCAGGCCACCACTGCCCACAGTTGTGTAGTGTTCATGGGCCGGTCAGTATGTGCCGGATCAGTGTGCTAATATGGCCGCTGCAGGGCGCTCGCTAGGACTTCAGGGAGCCGGTCAGACATGGAGACTGTTTATGTGTTTGCATATTTCAGAGAGTCCCCCAGCGTCTCTCTCTGAGTCACAGGCAGAGTCAGGGGAGACATGACTCTGTTGTCGCTCTTCCACTAAAGGTCGTTCCCATACCCACCCCCCCATTCCCATTCTCCCGGTGCTGCGAGGTGGGGGGGGCGGGGCGGGGTATACGGACATGTTCCCACTCCATGTGAATGCGCCACAGGGGCCCCCTCCAGAGGTCTCTGCTCCCCACGGGGGTCAGCCCCAGTGAAGGGCACCGTTTTTGCTGATACCTGATATGTCCTCACAAACATGCGTGTATAGAAGTGGGGCACATCGCATTCTTCCCCGGGACCCCTGTGCCCTGATTGGTCCCCTGTGGCAGGTGGAGTATGCCTACTTCTAAAAATAACCACGCCTGCCCTCTCACCTCGCTATTTCCCATCAGGTGTGGCATGCAGAGGGGTGCAAATCAGATCTGCAGTCATGCAAGTCCAGCAGCACAGAAATGCGCTACTGTTCTATTTTGCAATATGTTCCATTTCAACATGTAATAGAAGAGTTATAGACATTTATATATACTTTTGTTTATACACTGCCCGGCCAAAAGAAAAGACACCATTTGAATTTATATCAGCAAATACTTAAGAGCCAATGACTGGATCATTATTACAGCTCAGCAACGTTATGCAGCAATAAAGTGAAGTCAGGTGAGTACCTGAATCTACTGAATGGCCAGGTTACACCTCCATCCATCATCAATGGATTTCTTTCTTACATGTGTCAAGTCGGGATTTATTCAGGGTATGAAACACCTCAGGAGCACGAAACCACAAACAGAAGCGACGTCAATGACCGGACTAGGGAAACAGACTCAGACATAGACTTAAAAACACCACAATAATCAACAGGACTTGAAACAGCTGGGAACATGGAGATTCCACACGGGAGGATCGGCACGATCGGGACATGACACCTGTTGGGATGGGCATATTCTAGGACAAGAATGCCAAGATTTATTGGGTTCGAATTGTTTTCACGTACTGTATGACTCGGTCACCACAGAGCTGTGACCTTAACCTCATTGAAGGTCTTTGGGATGCAATAAAGGAGGCTTTCTGGAGTGGTTCAACTCATTTGTAGGTACAAGATCTTGGTGAGAAATGAATGCAAATCGAATTGAAAATAAAGGGTGAGATGTAGCATAAGCCTGTGGAAATGTGTGTCATAGCTAAAGGCGGTCCAACGAAAAAATATTAAATTATTATTATTATATTAAAGTATTAATGTTTTATCATGTCCCTGAAAGTTTCATTGTGTGGATAAAAGGTTTGACGGAATTTTGGGAATATAGCAGCGAATCCTGCTCCCTAACATGTGTCCCAAACCACAGTCACGAATATACCCTGCTTAAGCGCTTAGAGCTGATTCCCGGTCCCCAGAGGTAACAGAGAAGTGGCTACGTTTCTGAAGAGTTGTCCCCATCGGTGGCGTCGACACGCCGTAAACCTTGTCGGTGGGGTTGCGGAGCGTTCACGTTCACCCCGCTGAAGATTAACGCTCGGCAGATGGTCTGAGTCCGGATCCCCATGGAAAATGCACAGAGCCTCTGCGTGCCGGAATGCATATCTCTGCTGGCTTTTCCTTCTGCTGGGAATACCACGCAGGAAGAGCATCATAGACAAACATACCCCCCCCCCCCCAACTCATACAATTAGGTGGGTTGCTTTTTTTTGCCACACGTGGCCTAATCGTCCCCCCCGGACAGCTGAAGCTCAGCGCCCCCCAACAGAGGACCACAGGAGCGGCTGTATGCCCTGAGGCCTAGTCTGGGTGCTTAGGGAAGCCTCATCCATTTTCACATGGGAAGTACTTCTGGAACCTTCTGCGAGGCAACGTGGGGCCAGAAACCACAATCCGGGACAATGGTCAATTTATATTAAGTGTACACATGTAGCGTAGATAGGTTGTAAAATCAGTCAATCCCTCATAAACCTCTCCTTGCACCACAAACCATTTTCAGCTTCTTATTTTACCAGTGTAATTGTGGAATTTTACACTCTGCCAGCGCCTCTCTCTGAACGAGGCTGAATACTTTTCCTGAAGAAAAAACGTTTTTCCTAATCGTTCGAGTTTTTTTCTTTTTTGTTCTCACCCTTGCCGTCATATTCTCTCCGCAACGTCTCCCTTCAGCTTCGTGGAAAATTTTGGGAAGGAATCGGGAAGGTGATGGATTTGGGGGGGGGGGGGGTGAGTTGCATCTGAAGCTCATAGGAAACCCCTCCCTTTTCACACACGCCACGCATCAGCTTCACTGAGGACAGGCCCTCTGTGGAGGAGGAATGTGTGGAGCTGGGAAGCTAGCAGGAGCGTGGCAGGGCGGCGGGGTCTCGCCTGGGGCCGTGCATCATCCCCGGACAGATCTGTCTGCCGGCCATTTTGACATGTCCTTACTGCAGTTTTTTCAGGACCGTTTATGCTGAAAGACGATACTGTGTGTGAGACCCAGCGTGCGTAGGTGTGAGCAGTGGCGGGCGTCTGCTCAGTGGGGCGCGTGTGCGAGCCTGTCTGTTTATTTCCCCAGTCCTGCACATCCCCAAGTCCGGGGGGGTCGACGACCTCGAGGGCAGGCTGCGTGACATCTGAGCCTGGCCCTAAGGTGTTGACGGAAAATACAAAAAAGGTGACACGTGCCAGTCTGTCCGGCCTCACGGCACGAGCAGCCCCAGGTATCCGCTCTGCCATCCTTCAAACGGGGGCCTTTCCTGCAGCAGATGAGGGGGGGGGGAGCCTGGCCTCTGTCCCTTACTCACTCTAATTAAAGGCTGCTACATTTCCAGCTCTGAGACAAAAACCACATCGTCCCACTTGGCTTCCAGTCACCAGCAAGCTGCAGTCATGGCATCAATCTCACGTTTTAAACCATGGGGCGGGAGCCGATTTATAACCGATTTGTGCAGAGGGCTTTAAACTTATTCACCCTGGAGGAAGGATGTCTGTGTGGCTTCTGGGTGTTTGTCTGTCCGGCTGTTAATCAGCTTGATCCCCAAAAAGCGCATTAATTCCCCGCGCGAGTCAGCCATGTTGCCTGAGCGATTTGGCAAAGCTATTTATCTGATGTAGGCACAATATTGGCACTACAAGAGCACTGAGCCTGTCTTCACTTTTTAATTAATCTCTGAAATGGTGTCTCTAAATGGCCCTTAACTGATTAGGTTTGTGTGTGTGTGTGTGTGCGTGCGAGCGGGTTTACCTATCCTTATGGGGACATAATGTCCCCATAACATGATAAATATCCGTTTTTTTCCCTTATGGGGACCGGTTTCCTGGTCCCCATAAGGGAAAACTCTATTTCATAAAAATCGGTGACTTCTATGAAAAAACTAAAAATGCAAAAACTGTTGTATTTTGTTAGGTTAATTATGGTTATGGTTAGGGCAGGGTGGGGGTTAAGGTTGTCATAGTTAGCGTTAGCATTTTTCCCATTGAAGTGAATGAGCGGTCCCCATAAGGATATGTTTACCCTACATGTGTGTGTGTGTGTGTGTGTGTGTTTATATGCGAGCGGAAGTCCATCCAGGGTATCCTAGCCTGCCCTGGATCAGCTCCAGAATCTCTGTGACCCTGTACCAGATAAGCATTTCCACTTAAATGTATAAAATTTGGATTTCCTGCACTGCTGGTTGTTTTGTCACGTTGAAGCATTATCTAATTAAAGTACAGCCCTCCCTATAAGAAAGTCACGGTGATGATTTGGTGAAAAACACTTCCAGCTATCGAAGGCAGTCTTGTGAAAACTCTTGCACAAAAAATGTATTTTGAGACATTTTAAACCTTTAAAGAGAACAGGGCAGACACCCACGAAGTAATGGAACAAACTTTAAACCTGGGAATCTTACTTAGCTTTCTGAATTAGTGGTCACAGGTGGGAACCATGAGCGCTTGATGGGGGGGGGAGTCAGTGCTACCTACATTCTCTTCTGACCTCCTGGACACAATTGTTAGGCCATAATTCATGGTCCTAAGCAGAGCTGTGAAGGGACTTTTTTGAGGGGCAGGTGGTCAAAGGTTAAAGAGGGGCATTCAGTACCTTTAAAGCTCATGCAAAAGGTCACATTAAAATACACCCTGAGCCCACACCCCACACATGCCTGATAATATGCAGTAAAACCATCATGCTACTGTTTCTGATACTTCTAAGCTGATTGTCAACATTTATATTTGCATTTTACATTTCCCCATCGAATTCAGTGAACAGGAAGAGGACCAACAGCAGAAGAAGAAATTACCACTTAGAGGAGGGACAGTCGGATGCCTAAAGCGTGTATGAATCTTCCACAGGGTCCAAGCAGATATTGCCCTAGTAGCAGATGACTAGTTCGTTGTTGAGTCGTATGTGTTGAGGCTGGGGCTCAGTGGCGGGG